TACAATTTCATCACGATATTGTGATGATGGATGTGTGTGTGTGTGTGTGAGAAGCATTACAGACTCCATTAAATGCTAGAGATAACGAGATCAACCCGCTAAAAATCAAAGTATCATTAATTACTAAGTGGAGAAAAAAGTAAACTATTAATATAATTTAAATAAATATATACGCACACATTCAATTCGTATCCACTTTGGAAATATCACGAAAAAGCTTACACAGTCTTAAAACAAGTTACTGATCCCATATACTTAAAAATTATACAAGAAAACTTATTGTACTTAATTTAAATTAATTAATGATAAGGGAAGTACTGATATACCATTTTAAAAAGCTGTATCATCTTATCTCATGCATTTCTCATTTTTGTACGTTTTGCTTGCTTGCGAATACAAAGAATTTTCTGACTTGTAATATCGGAGAGCATATGATAAAAGATTCCTATGTAACGTCACTTTATATAGCGCGAAATCTTTCAGTTTCACATTGCAGCAACATGGTGCAAAGAATTTGCGATCGTATGATTACATGATAAAATATATCTACAATCTTTCTGCAACCTTGTGAAAATTAAGTTCTACCGACACCGCGCTATGCCATGAAACATTGTCTTGGCCGTAATAAAATTTTTACACGGATTCTAGTTACGTTATGCACTTCATTTTCTTAACAAACTTTCTCTCGCGTTTTACAAACTACACTTGCAAAAAACTTGCGATCTTTTTTGCACTTTCTCCCAACAGTATTGTTCTATGATTACCATTCACCTCTTCTACTCTCACGGGCTGCATGCAAATCTGAAAGAGAAAAGGTAAAGTATGTATAAATCTTTGAATACATAATTTGCAAATTCCTTTCGCGTATGAGAAGGAGATTGAGAGAATAGTATTATTTAGCTTTGATAAAAATATCTATCAAACTTGTATAAAATCAACTGTTTTATCTATCTATTCAATTAATTTTTATTTGGATTTTTTATTTATTTGTAATTGGATGTGACAATATTGTAAATATTTGTGCTAATATATTGCCAATATTCTATTTTTCGGATAACTACAATAGATGCAAAGAAAAACGGAATATATTCGATAAAAACTGTATTGAAATAAAAACCTTTATTTGAATTTAAATTCATAATAAATTCACAATTTTAAAAGAAAAAGGAAAATAAAATTAAAATATTGACAATATTGCATATATATTCAACGAAAGAAACAGATAAGGACAGAAATCTCTTACGTGTGACAAATTGTGATCCTTTTCTATGGGCACAAAGTTCTCTGTAGCCTTAATCAATGTCACTGGTCCTTTGATTTTTTTATCCGGACAATAGAGTGAAATGGCCACCAATTTTTTAAACAGAAGATACCCAGCAATCTTTACATCTTCTTGTGGATATGGGGTATCGCCTATTACTTGTAACATTTTGTCAAACATCTCCTCATCTGATTTGCTCTGTCTCAGAATATTGTATGCCTAGAATGAAATATATGTAGATTGAAAAATAAATATCTCGATTACATGTATATGCATATATACATGTACCCTGGATTATTTGTGCTCTCATTTATGGATCATATTTATGTCATTGTGAATTGCTAATAACTAATAAAAATGAAAAAAAGCATATGTTTAATTGTTATTATCAAACGATTCATTACCGAATTCTTGAAAGGCAAACAAAGATCATGAATTATTTATAAATAATAAACATTCGCTCATTGTATATATTATGCATATCGTGGCTAATATTATAATTACTATTGATTTTTATTTGTGCTTTAATGAGATGCAGTTTCTGCTTTTGAATGTTTGTATTCTTTGATTATTAGTGTACAGTTTTCTCCCTACCATGTAATAATCAAGAATATACTTTATTTAGATATACAAAAAGATAGACATGTGGACGTGATAGTACTTACTTGAGAATAATTGACCTTCTTGTTAAACTGAATGCTGAAATACGCCAACGCTTTCATACAGCCATCGGAGATAACGCAATTTGTCACATCTATTTTGCCGATCATTTCGCATTGTTTTCGCATAAAATCCAGCGAACCGTCGATTAAATGCAGGGTGACTTTCTCCCCAGCGGATTCCAACTGCAAAGTCATCTCGATAGCGACGCAAGTTCCGAACGAGTATCCCACCAGGTGGTACGGTCCCTTCTCTTGAACTTTCCTGATGTTGTTTATATAGAATTTAGCCATTTCCGGTATTGTATCGTGCGGCGCATATTCAACGCTTTGCAGTCCCCAAAGTGGTCTCTCGAGCTCGCTAGCCATGTACTCTAATGATTTCATGAAACCCTCGATCGGGTGAACGATAAACAATGGCGATCCATTCGCGCTCTTTGTCTTCATTCGGATGAGAGCTTCCTTAGGCAGCATTTCATCGCCTGGCCATTGCATCATCAGTGCATTGCTGGCAGCATTTTCGTCCGAATTCGCACTAGCAGTCACGTTTGCGGCCGTAAATGGCTTCTTATTCGTCTCGGTGGTCGACGAAGATAATTCTTGTAGTTTGGCGAACGTCAAAGCGCGAATCTCTTGAGGCGACAACACGATATCATAATTTCTCTCGAGGGTTTGCTTTATCTCCGTGCCCATCAGTGAGTCCATACCCAAGTCGGCCAGGCTATTGCTGCCACCAACTGAATTAGCGTCTTTAATACCTAAGATATTGGCAACGGCTTCGATGAGGAGGATTTTATTACCACTATCCGTGGATTTGTTTTTCTCAGCCAATACTGCGGAAGATAGAACTGGATGCGGTTGTTGTAGGAATACGTCCATAGTCGCTAGGCAGCTTACTATGTGTTGTGGCATGGTACCGCCAATCTCGGTGTCGTTACCTCCCATATCTAGAAGAATAACAATATTGTGTAAATAACACAGATTATAAAATGTAACATATAATGATTTTATAACAATAATACCCCGCACGTATATACCGCTTAATTAATTTTTAATGTTATCGTTATTGTCTTCCTTAGGAAATCATGCCGCTATGTTGATGAATATAAATGCTTTTTAAAATAAAATAAAAGGATGGATTTTTATAGAAATAAAGACTCGGAAAATCACGGATCCAGGAATAAAAAACCAACTGATTAAAACTCGGATTTCTTCAAGAAAATACATTTTGCATATATTACCCATGATTAAGCCAACGTCTCCAATGGCACCCCATTGAATGGCGAGACCAGGTAAACCATTGGCCTGTCTCTGTTCCATCAATCTTTCCATGGCCGAATTCGCAAAACCGTAATTAGTTTGGCCCGTATTGCCGCGGCCGCACGATATGGATGAGAACACGACGAAATAATCCAACGATGGACAAGATTTTCTCGATACCGCGTCCAAATTTCTTGTACCGTCGACTTTCGGCAGAGTTACCGTCTTGAAATCGGCCTCTGTCAGATTCTCGATCAGCGCGTCGCGCAATACAGCTGCGAGATTGAATATGCCACCCACCGGAGCCAGTCGACTGCTTTCCTGGATCAGGCGTTCAGCACCCGATAAGGTCGTAACGTCCGCCGTGGAGATGAGGATCTTCACACCATTCTCGCGCCAGCGTCGCACACACAATGCCTGGTAACCGGTGCGTATGCCCGAACGTGACACGAGAACGATAAATTTGGCGCCGCGTGAAATCATCCAGTTGGCCAGCTCCAGACCGAAGCCACCGAGACCACCGACTAATATGTACGATTTCTCTGGATTCATGTAAGTACGTGGTATGGCAGCCACTATCTTTGGCGTCGGCGAGACGAGTTTTTTCGGTTCTTCATCCCGAATCTTCAGTAATACCTTGCCAATATGTTTGCCAGTCGCCATGAATCTAAATCCCTGCTCGAGCTGCTGCTCCGAGAACACTGTCGAGGGTAGTGGACGCACTGCGCCGTTTTTGATCCCTTCTGAAAGAAGCTTTACCACCTCCTTTTTCTCTGCACAATCATCTCCAAACAACGCATCCAGCAGTATACCATGGAAGGCCGTATTTTTCAAGAACATTGACATTCCTACGCGGCTGTCATTCGATAGATCGTACTTGCCAATCTCGAGGAAACGACCATTCAACGCGAGGCATCGTATGCCAGCCTGCAGCTTCTCTTCCGCCAGCGAGTTCAGCACCACATCGACTCCGCGTCCTTGTGTCTCAGTGAGTATTAGCTGTTCGAAGCTCGTGTCCCGAGAATTGCCGATGTGTCTATCGGTCAATTGGGGGAAGGTTTTCTTGAGATATTCCCTTTTCTCCGGCGTGCCAACGGTAGTGAAGACCGTGCAACCGGCATGCAAAGAGATGGCGATCGCAGCTTGGCCGACGCCGCCTGTACCGGCGTGAATCAACACGCTTTCGCCCGCTTTTAGTTGACCTCGTACGAACAGAGCGTAGTAACTGGTTGCATAAGCGACAGGTATCGTTGCCGCCTGTTCTAACGTCCATTTATCGGGTACCTCCCAGAGGAAACCAAGATCCGCCACTACGGTGGTCGCCAATCCCCTAGCTTCGACCATACCCATCACGCGACGTCCGCCCGCGTCTCTCCCAGAAAACTCCAATCCCAATATACAATCCTCCGTAGCCATTTTTCCTGGCAAGGCGTCCGGTGGTAGTTTCCCGCTCGCCAGCATGATATCCCTATCGTGTAAGATATTTTATTTATCTCGCTGTCATCCTCATCTCTAAACGAGTAATTAAAGACAGTTTGTCGAAACTTACCTGAAATTCAACGGAGCATAGTACACGCTGCAGAGCATCGTATTGGAAGAGTTATCGGGCCGGTAATAACTTAACGGGCCTTCAATCCATTTCAAACTGCTTAAGTCTCCTCGCACCAGTGAGTTCACGTAAGCGTGCTCCACCTGCAGGGAAGACACGTTGCTCTGTTGATCCAACTGCAAGTGCAAATACCTGCCCCACTGGCTTCCCTTCAGCACGTTGGCCACCAGTCCCTTATCTAACTGTTCCGCATATAATTGCGTGGATAAACTGAACTTGGGAGCGTTTTTGTCCTGAATGAAGATGTAACGTGCGTTTGCACCGCCCATCTCTTTTCGTATACAAGTCATGAGTCCGATTAGACCTGCAGAATAAAAAAGTGGCCGTTTACGTTTTGCTGATCTGCATAACATAATCAAAAAAATTGTTTAAAAATTGTTTTTCCCTAAAACATCTTACCGAGTAACGGTTCGCCTTGGGATACAAGGAGCACTTGTTGACCCTCGCTTTCAGATTTCTTCAGTGCCGCTTTCACACCCTCCAACCACGAGAAAGTCTTCTCCGTGATCTGTATTACAGTCGGCTCTTCCTTCTTCTCAAGCTTTGTCAGCAATAGATAAGTTTTTCCTATGGGATCGGTCTGTTTCGCGATCAATACTAGATCTGTTTGCTTCAGCGCGGTTTTAAAATTCAGTTGCGCAGCGGTTTCCTCCAAAAGAACGAAACCGTTGAGTTTCAAAGCAGCCGCCAGATTTTTGAGAACGCCATGAGATTGGTTGGATATAACGTCCGCTGCTATTACGAGATGCACGTCCTGAGCGGGAGGTGCATCATTCACATCCCCCGCCACGACGTCAACATTCATTTGGCTGCAAACTGTTGTATAATTGCCAGGAGAAACAGCAGCCACTTGTAAATCGAACTGAAACGATAAAGCATAATTTTTTGCGAAACAAATATAACGATTGCGATGATTCAATACTTTGCGCGATATTAATGAATATATAAAAAATGTCGCAATAATTTTAAGCATTGAGAAGTCTTAGAGAGGCAAATATAGATAGGAAACCCACGATTATCAATATTGTTCGTAATTCCCTGTATTTCACACGCATTCAAATTGTGCACATAAACAAGCAATTTAAAATTACAATATGAAATTTATTCATGGAATTCTCGTATATTGAAAATTCGCATTCCAAGAACATATTGAGAGCTAACAATGTTTATCTTCAACGCTTATTAGCTTCAGGCTTATGTTAGAGGAAATATACTAGCGGCAATCGACAATAGGCTTTTCAGTTTCAGATTGCTCCATCTATGACCTCCGTTGAAATTTACTGTTGAAGTTATGAATGTGATTCGTATTAAAATCCTGTGATATACTTACAGTGGGCAGGTTCGGTTCACCATCGATAAAATCGACTAGATATGGTATCAAGAGAGCCTCCGCGGCTCGTTCACCCGCGATCTCCATGACCTTAAGTTTCAACGCTGTCGTATTCTCGCACACGATATGCAACAGCACATTCAGCGCGTGCATTTTACCCCTTGCTGGATCCTCCACCAGACTATGCGAATTTTCATAGGGTACGAAAGTATATCGTTCATGTTTAGGATGAGCCTGAGTTTGCTGTCGTCGAGGAGCCAGAGAAGCTTTTAATCCTCTAAATTCGACACCGCCTGATTTGACAATATTGACATTCTTGTAATGATATACTGGCAATCCGTTGTCCAACGGTAGCTCCTCTGTCAATTGTTTGTGCAGAACTGGGTCGATCGCGGCGTATTGGAGACGTGATGGTAAATATAGCAGCTTGTGGCTATTGGACAATATGCTAAACTGTAGCATAGTATCTAAATACGAGACCCATTTGTCGAACCAAAGAAGCTCGCCAGTAATAGCGTAGTTGTCGCAGATCTTGATCCCCTGGAAGATACCGCTATATTCATATCCGCGCAGCCTTAGCTCCTTGTAAATGTCCTTGGTGTTCAACGGTAAAATCTCGTTGTCAGCAGGCGGAATTGATGGTGGCGGTAAGTTCACCTGATCTCGCTCGATAGCTTCGGATGCACGGATCTTTCCGCTGACGGCAACCGTACCGGCCTCGCAGATCTCAAAATCGCCCGTTCCCTCGAAGATGTTTATCGAGAATTTCACCGTTCCCTCTTTCGGCATAATAGTGGCGCGCTGAAAGCGCACATTTTCAAATACGACTGGCAATAATTCGAAGTCGGTGTTGCGCAGTTTCGCCAAAGTCTTCCACACAAGCAGAAGATAACCGGTGGCTGGGAAAAGGACTCGCCCATCTATCTGATGTCCTGCTAGATAAGCGTCTAACTCTTTCGATAGATCTACTTGTACTATGCATTCGCCCGATTGACTTGATTTTTGGTTGAAAGAGGGCACATCCCATGTGGCGGAGTGGTCCCACTTGACTAGGGGCCCAATCATCGGCGTCCCGCGACCGACGGGGAAACTCACTGGCGGATACAGCTTTGAGATGTCGGGTTGTGCACCGGCCATGTATAGCTTACCTATGCTAGACAACAAGAAAGCCAGGTTGTTCGGATGGTCCCGCTTGTGGAGGCCAATATTGATCACTGTCGGTGGCAGCGATCCGCGCAGAATTGCCTGCAGCAAGCAATGTGGCGCAATCTCGATCGTTATCGCGTTCGCTGGAATATGCGCGATCGCTTCCCGAAAGAGAACAGGTGATAGCAAATTGTTGACATGATACGCAGATGAGCTGAGTTGTGCGAGCGGGCTGCCCCATGAGGCCTCGGGTATGGAGCTCGAGATCCATTTGGCCGATCTCTGCTTCGGGTTTGGTATGATCTTGTCGAGAGAGGCGCGTAGTTTGGGACCAGCCGGGGCGATATATTTGCTGTGGAATGCGACATTGGAGCTCTTGACCATCTTGGCAAAGATATCCTTGCTCTTCAACTCCTCTACGAATTTTTTAAGAGACGTGGGGGGGCCGGAAACGGTGACCGAGTTCGCAGAATTGTGACAAGCCGGAGAGATATCAGGCGGGCACATCTTTTTAGCTTCCTCCCAGCTCAAACCGACCGCCGCCATGGAGCCCGTTTGCAGTTTGGAGTCTATAATTGATTTGCCTCTGCTATAGGCTGCTAAAATAGTTTGCTCCGGTGTAAACGCACCATCGGCATAGGCGCAACCCAGTTCCCCGGTGGAGTGTCCGATTATACCATCCGGATGTATGCCTATCAATGTGAGCATGTCGACAAGAGCGACCTGCATGGCCGCGATCGACACGAAGGAATCTGTCACGTTGTCCAATGTCTCCTCTGTAGCGTTCATAATAATATTCATGAGATCGATGCCGTGGGGTTTCAACGCGTCCGCGCATCGTCGCAAACTACGTTGAAAAGTCTCGATGGCGAGCAATTCGCGACCCATACCCGCCCATTGCGTGCCCATACCGGAAAATATAAACCAGATAGGACGTCTCTCGTCACTCGTTACCTCAGTTATTTCGCGTGTATTATCGATACTCAAGATCTCGTAACCGCGAATCTTGTGACCCAGTATATTGTTCTTATGAACGACATGTAACAACGAAACAAACTCGTCGTCTTTGCGATGCTCTTTCGCTTTTTCCAGCAATGCGTGCACAGCCTCCTCCGTGCGACCCGACACGGTGACCAGCTTGGGCAGTTGTTCGATAGTGTCCGGAACTGGGGATAATTTCGGCTTCGGATTACTACGGAGAACAATATGCGCATTCGCGCCACCAAAGCCAAATGAATTGATGCCTACGATACCACCGTTCCACGGCATGGTTTTGTCAACCACTCGGATGCGTCCCTCCTTCAAGGCAGGAATATCCGGATTCGGTGTGTTAAAATGTAAATTTGCGGGAATCATGCCCGCTTCCATCGCAATCAGCACCTTGGCGATTGAACAGAGTCCGCTGGCAGGTTCCGCGTGTCCCATGTTACTCTTGACTGAGCCAAGTAGTAGTGGAGTCTTCCTGTCTTTGCAAAACAACCTATCGATGGAGTTGATCTCTTCCGGATCGCCCACTTTAGTACCGGTACCGTGAGCCTCTACGTAAACTACGTCCGCAGGATTAATCCTCGCCTCACTGTACACCTCGCGCATCAATTTATTCTGCATTTCACCATTCGGATATGTGATGCCCTGGGATTTATGGCCGTCGATATTCGTTTTCGTGTGAAGCACTGTGGCGTACACTCTGCGCGCGTCCTTCGCCTTCTGTAAATATATCGCCGCCACTGCTTCGGCTCTTACGTACCCGTTGCCCGTGACGTCGAACGCTTTGCACTTGCCGTCCTGCGACAACATATTTAGTCTATGAAATTGAAGCGCGGATTCTGGCTTCAGCAACAGATTCATCCCACCGACGATCGCAGCGTCGCATTCGCCGGCGCGTATCGCAGTGACTGCTTGATGCATGGCAAACATAGCCGAGGAACAAGCCGTGTCCAAAGCGTAACTAGGTCCAGTAAAATCAAACGCAAAAGAGATTCTGTTGGCGAACATTGCTCTGCAACATCCGACCAATCCGTATCCTACAAACAAAATGCAAGTTTAACAATTTACCTTTAGTAAGTTACCTTATGTGTTTCTATTCTTTTATAAGTTTTTAAGAATTCTAATGACATTTTTTTTATTTTGTTCTGTTTTGTTCAGATTCGAAGTCAACTTTCGAAATATACAAACCGTTAACGCGATCTGGATCTTTCGTCCAAAATTCGTCCGATTCGGAGGACGAGACGCCGACAAACACACCGGTGCGGGATCCTCTCACGGTCGAGGGGTTGATGCCAGCATCAACTATTGCTTCATGCGTGATTTCTAACAGTATGCGAAGCTGCGGGTCCATTACGTGCGCCTGCTTGGGATGTACCCCGAAGAAGGAGGCGTCGAATGAAGCGAGATCCTTGATCTTGGCGGATCTTCGCGGTAATCCGTAGAGGCCCGCCGACCAACGGCGCTCATCATCGGTAATCATATCTATCTCTTTCAAGAGATTCTCCTTAAACTCCTCGATGTTTGACGATTCAGGTAAACGACCTGGAATAATGTCATCGACGCGTTACGCTCCGATAACGATACGGTTAATCGTACTGACAATTACCTGAAATGCCTGTAATGACGATGTCACTGTCGATGGAATACGGTACTCCATTTGTGACCACGGGCTCCCGCGTCACCGGGCTGTTGATACTTTCAAACTGTGCAGGCATCTTGCCGAAAGGTTCGTCCTGTACGTAGGATCTTCTTTTACGTCCTTAAAATCACTATCTGCAAATTAGAATAAAACCAATAAAACCGATTGAAGTCTCTTCGCTTTTTGTCTCTTCGAGAGTTACGTGAGGTACGAAGAGAGAACGAGGTACATATAATATTTAAAGAATAGAAACTTTTCTCAATGTCGTCTACATTTTTTAAAATGCATATAAAAATATTGTCTTTGATAAAAATATTGTTTTCTTTTTTCAACGCGCACACACAGATTTTAGGAAACAAACGGGGATTTTTGATAATTTCGATCGATCTATCGGGGGAAAAAAGATTGAAAGCGATGTGATCTCGATGAGTTTAGAAACACGAAGAATTTTATATCATGCCGCGATGGTCGAAATCCCATTCTCACGAATAAACAGAGAAATCATTTACGCGTTTCTAGCACATCACGATCTATCGGGGGAAAAAAGATTGAAAGCGATGTGATCTCGATGAGTTTAGAAACACGAAGAATTTTATATCATGCCGATGGTCGAAATCCCATTCTCACGAATAAACAGAGAAATAATTTACGCGTTTCTAGCACATCGAAATCTGAGCTCACACTGGTTTTTCGTTCAGCGGTCTCTTTGTATACGTTCGGTCTATGACCAATTACCTTCAATTGGCATATAACATAGTTAATTGAGTGATCTCAATTGAGTAGTTTCACTTAGATAAACCAATTTTGCAATGATTGTTCACGCGCGCAGATATCGTTTTTTTCTTTTTTTCTCTATTTCTCTCTTTTCACTTTTTCTTGACAAATAGTATTAACAAACGATGGTCCGCATGTCCTCAAATTAGCAATTTTCTTTATCTTTGTTCAGAAATTTTCTACACATTTTATATTCCATTAAGATTTCAATCCTAAAGCATTTCAGTCGCTATTAGGACAAAACTAATTAATATACTAATTAACGTAAATTGTTATTGCGATAAAGCAAATAGCGTTCTTAAAGCACCTTACTTGTACACCTTGAATTTTTTATATAATTTTTTGTAAAACATAATTTACAAGTTATTTACCATATGTAAATTAGGGGTCACCCATATCGCAGTGTCATTTAAAAGATATTTCCTGTATGTATGTATGCATATATATATGTATATGAAGGATAAAAAATTATCGGATAGTAAGAATATATTTTATAAGATATTTTGTGTATATATGTATATATATCTTGTGTTATATATATCAAAAAATTAAGATATAAAATATTTCGTAAGATATATTCATTTTTCGATAAATTTATCTCAACACTTTTTTACATTGAGAATAATAAAATAAGTGGACAAATACTGATATATTCAGCCGTACGTTCATCTCAAACGTGCTATTTATGAAAAATCGCGATACCGTGATACGCGATAAAATGTTAACGATGATCACGAAATTCGTCACATTGATCACATGATCGAGAGAATGTGTTATTATCGGCATACATTACATGTATATGGTATACATGATACAGTTTCCGCAGCCAGAAAAATGACACGTATACGCGTAATTCGCAAAAAATTTCTCGATATTTAACCAACCGCTTGATAATATCTGTTTTTACAGCTGCTCTTCTTACTTCATATTTGGCATTTAACATCATCCTTGTTTTCGATACGTGCCACTAAAACCGCACATAAAATCGCTCGTTCAACACGACGTTACATCGATCCCGTGATGAGGTTCGTGTATTATCGCAAAGATGGATATTTGATAAAACTTATTGCACGTACCGGTTGATGCGCGTCACACGTAGCTCGATCGAAGCACGACCCTATTGATAGAAAAAAACAAATTTATACCAAATTTTTTACTTTACGGCAGAAAAAAATTTATGGTCGATCGCGTTACATCATAAAAGTTTAAGTTGAAAGGTCGGGGCATTAAGTCATACTGTATCGCGTAACCACGAATTGATTATTATCGCGCGATTTATTATGCCACGCATTACATCGCGCATACGCTAATTATACGTTCAATGATAGATATATTTGGTAACACAGGACAATTTTGCATCAGAGAGAATGGTCATTTTCCCAGTCGCATTTCGAAATGATTTTTTGATCGTGGCTTCATTGTGTACATACTGTACACGTGTGGATGAATAATGCGCGATCTTGAAAATATGAAATGTATGCGGTGACATAATGTCTGCCACATGTGCTTGACACGAAGCCGTCTCGTGCCTGAAGCCGCCACAACTAAATACAATCTGTTTTACATTCCACAATCTCCGCCTCTTCCGGATTCCTCTTTCAACGACAGTTTTTACGTTTTTCCCTATCAATTATACGTATTCATTTATACGTATATCATTCGTATACATACTCATATATGTAAACGTATTCATTTATACGTATATCGTTAAACGATAAAAAAAATTATTTGTTGACGTATGTGAATAATGAAAAACAAAGTTAATCATTGCCATTTCATTACCATTTACTGAAATTTACTCAAATAATTGATACTAAAATCGATATCAGTTTTAAAGACATTCATGAAAATTATATACGGATTATCCATGCGAATTATTTAATAATTTCCTAAACGTATCACGTTGAATATTTCAGGAAAACACAGAATTGTTTTTGATAAAAATGTAAGAGCCTGTGTGTGTCATATTTTTCTATTTTATATATAGAGAATTTCCTATCTTGTGTGTGTGGAATATTTAAAAGATCATTTAGTACTCGCATGCCGCTGGTTGGATTCTTATCAACGCTTCGTCTTTTTGCTGTAACATCCCAAATAGGCACTAGAGAAATAATTTCGTCAAGCATTATATAAATCAATGATGTCATAAAAAAAAAAAAAAAAACTGCATTCTTAATTTAATCTCTGAAAATTCGTAAATAAATTGTCACAATAAATTGTGACAAACCGGCAATAGTATATTTCGTGACTTTTCCTTTTTTTCCTTTTTTTTTTTTGGACGTTGTATATGTGTAATATTGCTTAAATTCAATTTTCGATAGATCACGTTCAAACAGATCAAATCAAGGTCAAGTTAGATCAGGTAAGCACAGTGTCTGACTGACATAGCGTATTTGCACTTGCATGTAATATTAAGCATGTTAGACGTTACGGCAGAGCAATCTATAAGGAAGGTCGAATCCTTGTCGCACTTCTTGCCTTGCACTTGACAATACGTTAATAGTCGTACGAGGTTCTCTCGGGCATGTCTATTCCATAAATGTTCAGCTTCCGGTATCATCATATCAGGTACAGATACTTATAACAAAACGAAGCCTTAAATATGAAACAACAGGAATATAAACTATCGGAAATAGCCAAATTATTAAATTAATTATTTCCAAAAGTTAAGAAATTGTTATAAAAATATTGAATGTATTTAAAATTGTTGCTTCTTGATGAACATTCAAACCTTTACCGCATTATATTATTTAACCTTCCATTTTGTGTAATTAAAACTGGTTTCACTTGAAAATCACCTGACTTATTGTTCTTTGCAAAACATGCAGTTTTTCTGCCGCACTCTATATTATAAAGATTTTTTTCTAAAAATGTACATTAGAATTGCAAACCATGACAGGTACAAAACGGGTTAATCATCATGGCTTCCATCTATTGCCTATCGTTTGTCTAATTGATTAACAAATTAAGTCTCATTAAAACATGTCATTAGAAACAGGCGAACGGAATATCTAATTTCAGAATAGATACTACTCGCACGCGCACATATTCGCGAGCACGAATTTACGCGATTGCAATTGATAATCGAGACGTACCAATAATTGCAGCTTCGAAATATGACATATACAATATTTAAAAATTCACACGCAATTTCGTATATTAAATAAAGTTAAATTGCTTGCCAAGAATATGGTGTTTACAAGATGAACGCATACTTTCTTCCGCATATGAATTTCTTAATTAATATGGAGTTAGTCTCAATTATGATATATATACACATACATACATATATACATACATACATACATACATACATACATACATACATACATACATACATATAAATTTGTTTTGGTATTGTCTTGATAATTAATTTAAAATCTTGTTTTGATCTTGTCTTGAAATTCAAGACAAGATCAAGACAAGACCAAAACTAGTCTTGGTATCTCGTGCAACCCTACACACGAATATATCACAAATGACTTTTGTGTTAAAAACAATTTCACGATGTATATTTCAAGATTGCAAACGAATAATAAAACTTATATCCATTCATTTAACTCTTTAAGTTAACTGTTCTCTGAACAGAATATTTTTTAATTCAAGGGTTCATTATATATTCAAACATTTTCTAAAACAACTATTAAGATTTTGCGAAAAACAATTACATCTAATTAAGATTTTGTTAAGCAAATATATCCATTACAGATTATATAAAAAATCTGTAGATGAACAGAAAAGAACATATGGGGAAAAATTTATTTTTGAAGTATATACTTAAAACAAATAAATAGTTTTTAATTTTTCCTTCGTAAAATAAAAATATATAAAATAATATTTTATATATTTCTCAAGAGAATAGTTTCATAGTATTTGGCAATATGCTTTTCTCTAATTAAATTCAACTTTATAAAATTTGTAACAACTTTGAAATTAAATTTTGTTTTTTCTTTATCTTTTTTTCACTAATAAACTAAAAGGTCAGATTAATTACGATAAACTAAAAGGTTACATTAATTACGAGTTATCTATGTTCTTCAAGGTGCTATTTTGCTATTGCATCAGAACATAGACAACTCGTAATTAATCTAATCTTAGTTTATTAGCAAAACTAAAATACAAGAAGACCAAAATTTGAGTTTCAAGTTGTTACAAATTTAAAAAAATATATGTATATAAGCATGTATATAAATTTTGTTAATAATGCAATATAAAAATTGAATTTATAATTTATATAGTTAAAAATCAATTAAATTTTTAATATTTCTGCCAATCTTGAACATGAAATTTGTAATTTAATATATAATAATCTTTGCGTAATCATATCAATATCTTACTGCTTCTCATATAACTATGAGTACGTATGAATCATAAGTGAAATATGATATATATATATAAGTTCCGAATATATGTCTTGATTATTTAAGATCTTACACTAATTATAATAAATTCGCATTGTTGTAGAATAGGCATTAGATACAGTTATAAGATTATTAGCGAGCAGGAAACATTAGCGGCGCATATAGTGCAGGAATCAGAAAGTTCTAATAGATATACAGGAGACACAGAACTTACTGTTTTGAATATATAATAAAGGAAGTATATCAAGCAATTATCAATAGTCATTTATATCATACATATTAAAAAATCCACGCAACAACATCTGTCATAATATTGAAATGCATAAAACTGGATAATTTATTCTAGAACATTCTGTGTATTCCGATACATATCGCTTTTAAAAGAATGGGTTTTTGTGTACGTAATCTGTGTGTTGTATAATCTTATTAATCTTTTAAATATATCAATCTACACTTGTATAAACTCATCTTATCGTGAAATTGATTTGTTAATATTTGTTCACGTAATGTTTGATTTTTGAAGTCAACACAAAACTTGGATTCTATACGAATTTTTACGTTATTGAAACATTTACAAACTTTATATAAAACTTACACACATTATACATTTCGGTATTTGTTTCAGAAAATATTTTGAGAAGTAGATAATTATAAAAATTTGCTCATTAATCTGATACTTTTTCTATATGAAGTAATTCTCAACATATAAAATAAATATTTCTGATACGTACGCGAAACTGCTATATACGCGTTTCGTTTTGTAAATTCTTCGAAAAAAAATACTTGAACGAAGAACAGATGATTATCTGAATCTACATCCTCATATACATCCTTCTTAAGAAATACGGCAATTTTATAAATCGCGCTTAATGGACTTATTTTATTCGTTCGTATATGTAAATTGATACCAGAAACGAGTTTTGCAAAATATACATGCGATTACACAAGCGATTACAAATTGGAATAAGTAAAGCACACAATACACGAGCAATCTGTTCTTTCGCTCTGTTCTTTAACTCTTGTCAACGTTATCGGACGCTTTTGCAATTAATCGAAAGCTTTCCCGTAAAACTGCGATACGCTCCGCGCCGGTAATTTCTTCGAAAAGCGATTATATTCGCGTCACTTCGATATCGATCGGTCGGAACTCACCTGATTCGCGCCTTTCCCGTATATACGTATAATCCTGAAGTAACGTGGAGTCCCACGGAGCGGATAGGAATTGGAACAGCTTATTTAGACGTATACTCTTGTCGTGTCGCCTGTCGGGTCTTTCGAATCACTGGGTCTCGCTTCCTCGCGTGATCTCGTGTGACGTGTGACTCGCACTCGCTCGTCTCACAGACGGGCGCGAGTTGTTCCCGCTCCCTGGTGAGGCAACCAAATCGTCGTGCGATCAAACACAAGACTGGCACGCATTTAGGCCCACCAGCATCTTATTATTGAATTGGACCGTCTCCGTGGTCTGACATCAGACCATGTGGTGACAACCAATGGGAACGCGGACTTCGCGAGCGCATGCGCGTCCACCAGTCGATGCGTACGGCACCCGCGCGCGCGCGCGACATCCTTGCCCTTGTCGTCGAATCTATGGGCAGGATCATAATCCGGTCTGACCCGACAGCTTACTTGACATCTCGCGATACTGTGACGGAGAATTTCGTGGCATGACACACATGCGTGTGTCACATGTTGTGTCTCCTACTTTTATTTTACGTAAGATCAGCGGCGTTATCGGAACGGATGATAACGTTACCGGCATGGTGCGGCGTGGCGTGGCGTGGTGTAGTGTCGTGTAGCGTGGCGACTTGACGCGCTCTTTTCTTTTTCATTCGAAACACGCGAAGCGGAGAAGATCGATACCGCGTCGTCTTTGGTTCGTTGCAACGAGCGATTTTACATATACGAATCATATATTCCGATATAGCAATAATGTCACTAAAATAATGTAATAGCATCGATAATGCAAAAAGATTAGATTAGATATTACATTTGAGCCAGATTTTTAGGTGCGGCTCATCGAAATGGAGAATTTGACAAATATATAGATCCGAGAATAGATCTTTTTTCATCATGAACATTACCTAAGTTTAAGTTCCATTCCAGCACATGTTAAAAGCAGTTTTTCTTAAAGATAAATATGCGTCGTAAACATTTAAAGATCCAAGACCTTTCTTTTCAATTCTTGACCACTGTTTTTGAATTCATTGTTTCTTGTAACTGATCAACTTATTAGCCGATGTATATATTATGTTCTTTAAATAGCCACAGATAAAAATCCAACAAATGATTCACTTTTCGAAGGATTTTCGTAAATTAGGTTCCAGAGATGCAGATAGAGATGTCACATCGATATTCTGAAATAATTTACAGCGAAAAGTCATTAATATTTTAATTAACTAAATGTATAATTGATTTTACTGTCTATTCTAGCGTTTCATCACATTCCCAGATAGTACAATATATATCTTTGACTATTCTATTCAGCGTTAAATATAATACTATTTTGTGAGGATATTATTACAGAATCTTTGTGGAATATTCTCGTGTTAAAAGAATATTTTATAAATCTGTTTAGAATATTGTAGTTAGAACGGCCTTATTTTGAAGTTCCTATGCATATTCATAGATCGTTTTTTTCATTTTATTAGAATATTCAAATATCCACTGAAAAATATTTATAGAATGTTTATAGGTTTGTGATATCACGATATTAATACAATATTTACGCGAACGTAGAGAACAGCGGATAATTAAGTGTTTAAAATTAAGCTTTCGATAATATTCAACAAACTTTAAAACTGTATAATATTATCGCCGTGCGGTTTCAAGTTGACGCACCTTTGTTTCACAAATTTGCTTACGGATTAATGTTTATATAATGTTTATAGGTTTGTGCTATAAGGATATTAATAGAATAGAATATTTACGCGAACGTAGAGAACAGCGGATAACGACGTGTTTAAAATTAAGCTTTCGATAATATTCAACAAACTTTAAAACTATATAATATTATCGCCGTGCGGTTTCAAGTTGACGCATCTTTGTTTCATAAATTTGCTTATGGATTAACATAACAGTTTTGAAAAGACTTTTTGAAGGAAATCAGATACGTCAAATTAGTAAATATTTCTTTTGAATTGCGACTGTAAATGGATTTAAAATATGTAAATACGAGTATTGATAAGTAGCATTTAATTAAAGTGTTTTTGTCATACCACTCCTTGATAAGTATAATAAAACATATATTTTAATTAACTCTTAAAAATTATTATCTCGAAATATGAATTAAGGAAAATTTTGAAGGAGTTTCAAAATTAGAGACTAAAAGTTTATAGCAAAAGAATTTGTAATTATAATTGAGATTTTGTGGCTTATGAAGCACTTTGCATTGAGAATTAGACAAATATATGGACATATGAGATGCAAATTCATAATTTATGTAACAACTTTTTGAGAAACAAAAAAGCAAATCTGTGCCATAAAATCATTTGATCATTAAATTTAAAAACATATAAGTGAAATGTAAGTAGAAGTCTTATCACGAAGTCACAAAGTCTGTATTACATAAATATTAATAAGAATGATGATTATGCATTCATACGATTTTGCGAATACATAAGAAAGATTGATGTAAAGTTATTAAATGACGTTTGTTAAAATTAAATTGACAGACACCAAAATCAAAACGTAATAAATAATAAAAAAGACGGAAAAAAAATAAGCGCTATAAATGTCTCATAAAATTTGTTAGTGCAACATAAAAAGCAGATTAATGTGCTATATAGCACTTGCAACATAGATAGCATTTTAAGGCTGCGTTTATATTCACTGCCAATACTGAAAACCGATAGTGCACGTGACGTAAACTATAGATTTTCAGTACCGGCAATGAATATCGGAACGTAACCTAAGGCTTCTGGGTATTCGCCGCAGCCATATCGGAATCGTGACGTCACAAGTTACATGCATTTTTCTTTTTTGATACAAGTCTGATATTAACATCTTCTAGTAGAGTCTTCCACACTTTCAAATATACCCGGAATTTGTTTGATTCTTTGACAACTTTGTTCTACACGTTGTCGAAGAATTTCTGCATTTTCAATTGACCTTGATTAGACTTGTGAACGAAACAATTCAGGACATGTTTATATGAACCTTTTTTTATTGTTTTTTTCTTTTGTTTTTTGGTTCTGCATCTGCCCCTGAAGTGCGTCCCACATGTTATAAAACACTCAGTATACAAAAGGGGAGGCGGAGGAGAACAAATATATATATATATATATATATATATATTCAATGTCTTAACAAAATACTGAATAGACAGTATATATTCTTTATTTTAATTTTTAGTGATAAAAATGAATATGTTATGCAAGTTAAAAAGTTTTATCTTAACGAAAGCTATGTAGTTTATTTTTCAGTTCATAAATCTAGTATTTAAAATTTAAGTGATCTTGTATTTTTTTTCGTATAGATAAAAAGCATTAAAGTAAAATTTAATAATATATTCAATATCTTTTACTCAACATTAGAACATTAATTTAGGAATAATACTTTTTCTTATATATATATATATATATATATATATATATATATATATATATATATATATATATATATATATATATATATATATATATATATATATATATATATATATATATATATATATATATATATATATATATATATATATATATATATATATATATATATATATATATATATATATATATATATATATATATATATATATATATATATATATAAGAAAAAGTATTATTCCTAAATTAATGTTCTAATGTTGAGTAAAAGATATTGAATATATTATTAAATTTTACTTTATCTCATCAGCATCAATATATCGGCAAGTGACGTTAAAAGAAGTAAGATCTTTTCCGTCTAAATATGTATACTTTAGTAAGAATCTTCGCGTGAGAATGCTTCATTGCTCAATTACTTAATTGCATGATTATTACATAAAATGAATGAAGCGCCTTTGCACTGAAATTGAGAAATATTTTTATCTCTTATCGTGTAGTGAACATATTTAAAAGAAATCATCACTATCATATAATAAATATTCGCATGTGCGTATCGAGATCCAAGATAAGAAAAAGCTTTTCTTTCTATTTCCATGTATTTCATTTATCAGAAAAATAAATAATTCATGAGAAAATATGTCCCAATGGAAGTTGTTGTTCAGATTAATTCAAAATATCATATCATTCATAATGATGATATTTCAAAGACTTCGTGCATAAAAAAAATTCTTTCCCTTAGATTTAATACACAACGTGTTAAAAAGTAAAAAGATATATAAAAATATATGTTTTTGTTTTCTAGAAATGACGTGTTGAGTCATGAATGAAAATATCGAAATTATTATTATACATGCATTTCGTAGCAACATCTGCATTTCAACACATTTTGATAATATCTATATCTAACTTTTTCAATGTTTTTTCTAGGGTGTCTACTCCCTGGAAAAACATGGAAAATCTGGAATTCTCACGGAATTTTTTTGTATCTGGAGAAATCAGGAAAGTCTCATGGAATTTTATAGGGACTCTGGGAATCTTTAAAAAAATTCTCTCTTTAATAATTTTGCTCTTATACTGTAAGCAGTAGATAATCTGCTAACAAGCCAAGTTGTAAATTATATGTTTGAAATATAAAAATTTAAGTGATCTTGTATTTTTTTTCGTATAGATAAAAAGCATTAGAAAACGTATACAATAAAAAAACTTATTTTAGGAAATTGCTCCAAAAAATCTTTAAATTATTTTTGTTACCCAATTTTGAACAAAAATACCTGGAAGATCAGGGAATTTTCAGAGACACTTTGTTTTTTTCTAAATTATCTATTTTACATTTATTTATATGTGTTAACATGTTATTATAATATTCTTTCTCTCTTTCTCTAATCTTTTAATATGTTACATTTAAAATCTGAGAATCACATTATTTTATTTGTCATTCTTGAAGTTAAAGGGACTATTAGAGTTCACATATACAAAAAAAAAATTTTAATTTTGTCGGGTAGGGTAAAACAATTTTGTATTTGCAACAAGCTTCTTTTCTAATATAACAATAGAATCAATTAAAGCGACAGCCTAATTTTAACGCCGAAGAAAGTGCACGAGATAACTAATCATCAAGCTTAACGAGATCTTTGTGTGGCACCGTCTAAAGCCAAGCAGGAGGCATCCTGTTTAGCACCGTAGAAGATATCACTTTGTAAGTGATGATGATGCGAGTTAAAATCGTGCGAATCAAAACAGCGTTTACATCTCTTTCTCAAAGGGAAACATCGAGTCCCAACAGAGATAATCGATGGTTCGGCATGCAGTCTCGTATATTCTGTCACGCAATATATCACGTGAACGCAATGATAAGCAAAATTATATGCTGATAAGCGCTAAATTAATTCTGCTGTTTTAAATAGCACAAAATTTGCATTTAAGTGATTACAAAAAAAAAATAATACGTCGCAATTATTTTTCCATTCTCCTCCCTTTCCCTTCCTTACCGATATATAAGCATATTATATGTAAGAACATCGAATTAACAGTGTATTATATGAAATACGAACCTTATTACATGAGATTTATATCCATTATTTTCCTCCTTTCTTTTTTTGCGACTCATTTGCTTCGTTCAATTTTTCGAGTTCCAATTCAACAGCTTTTTGTTTCCGTCGACAGGTTGGCGTTTTGGAAAACCAAGCTAGAACATTAAATTTCAAGTTGCTAGAAGTTTTGAAAGTCATAAAAGTAAAAGAGTGCCGTCTATACATATATTTGTATATACATCATATATTGATGGATTTATATATTTGTGATTTTAACAAATTATCTCAATATAAACAATATTTATAATATTTAAAAAAAGATTGTATTATCCAAATAAATATTTTAAGACACTTTTGAGCGATATGCATATATCACATATTATACATATGTATCATATATATACAGATTGTTACAAACCTAAAAATGCGTCTTCCTCTTCACGATATACTGGATCCTTAAAACTCAACGCATTTACCAACTCGGCATGTGTCAAAGAATGAGTTCGTAGTTGTACCATACGTTTTGTAGTCATCACCTATATCATAATACAAAAAATATTAATATCAAAAACATGCAAATAAATGTCAAAAATTTGTAATTCTAATTATCAACCTCATTAATTGTTGCTAAAACGGCGCCGATTGTGAAACCATCGCACGCTTTAGCCATAGCCGATGTATCAAATTGGCGATTAATTCCAGAGTACTGGAAAAAAAAATACTATAAGATTTATGACCTGTAAAAAAATTATTAATTTTCAGCATAAATTTTATTTTTTCTAAAATGCAGTATCTCTCTACATATAAAACATATTATTATATCTCTAATTATTTCTTCAATTAACGTCAAAAATTCTAATTTTTGAAATGTCAACTGCTGTCTGCGCAGCATAATACTTTTACTCACTTTGTACAATAGATCCTTCCATATGAGAGACACAGTTCCATAGTCCGGTCTAGGAATGTAAATGACTTTGTCGTAAGTCTGATACAAGAGTTTTTGATCGCCATCCCAAGGTTTGTTGGATGTCCCGATAAGCAGAACCCTGTCCTCACCCGTGATACTCTTGACAAGTTTCGGTAGATCTTTCCTCAAACGTTTCGGATCAGTCTTATCTGTTTTTGGTACTTTCTTCACAAATGGCTTTTCTGCGTCATCCATGAAGATCACTGACGGCTGCAGCAATCGTGATACCTTCGACAGTAAAAAATCTACCTAATGTTATATAAGTGCCATTCTTAGATGAAAAATTACTTAAATATACGGTTCATGATTATCCAAATTTAAATCTTTGTAGATCAATGGAAATTACACGACAAAAGTAAATCGAAGACAATATTATTACTTAATTTTTCACTAATTTTCACACTGCAAGATGTCCAGTTTATGAGAGCACCATCCATTTTGTCATAACTTCATATGTCACCTTGTGGATAAAGATCAAGTAACTTGGATAAATATTTACTTTAATTAATAAATGTCAAATAAAAATTTTCTCTAAATAATTATCCGAAGTTTGTGGTTAATTTGGTATATTTCTATGGCTCTGATACAAACCTTCGAGATTAAATGAACAAGCATGATCAATCCCGACTTGCCGGGATATTTGCCAGCTATATTTGCCGGCGTGATGTCGAAGAGCGTAGCTCCGACTTCCGTACAGATCGCGTTCACCAGAAACTTTTTGCCGCTACCGTGCGGACCGGCTATGAGAACAGATCGTACGAGTGGTGTGAATTCTCTCAGAACTTGATTGCCCAGCGGAAGTATGCAGTATTCGGCAATTAATTGCCTTATGTCACCTGATACAATTCGATTAATTGTTATAAAGCTTGTACTTTATCTTATTTAAATCAATCTGAAAATATTTTAGTCAAATTCTTCGTAAATTTAGAAAATAGTTCTTTCCTAGTGAAAAAAACACATCGAGAGTAACTTTTATTTGTTGTAGTAGAGATAGTATCTATTGAAAGTACGAATAAATTAAAATATGTGTTTTGGACACTACCATGGATATATAAGGTCATACATAATGACCTTAGATTTAAGAGAGTGAATTTAAATGTTACGTATTCAAATGTACCAAGCGTCGGAAGAGGATCTTTCTCCTTCATACGAAGATCATAGTTTACGAACGACTTTTCGCCCTTGAATTCATCCAGGGAAACCTCGGGGTGAAGTTTAATAATACCCTGCGTGAGAAGCTCCTCGAAAAGGGACTCGGTTGTTCTATCGGGCGTCAGATCTTTCTCTTTCTTTCTCTTATTTTTCTTTCCGCTCCTGCGAATACGTTTCTGTGGTTTCTTCGCGCGTTTTCCCTTGTATCCTCTGTCCCTGTCTAACGCAGCCTGAAGAGCCTCTATATCGCCTAATTGTAATATCATGTTATTAGTAGTCATATGGTTGTCAGTAAATTCACTTTAATCTTACATAACAATCTTTATAATTATTTTTCTCTATCCCTTGTAATATAAAATTTTTAATTGATACAACAAAACAAATTGTTATTATGTAGAGTATTGCATATATTTGCATGCTAAAGAAATTTGAATGCTTACTTTCCAACAAGATTGAGATAAGATTGAAAAAAAAAACAATTCGGAAATAAACAAATTTGGATGTAAAACGAACTTTTTAGATCGAGTTGAGATTCTTACACTATTTTCAATTTTGATCCTTATAACTCTGTCTTAAAAAACTATCAATACTTATCTTTTCATCTATCTATTTACTTACCTCTTATTGCCTGATCCACAACTGCTCTGACTTCGTCCTCGACTTCCTTCGTCTTCTTCGCTTCTATCATGTCGCAATAAGGTAGTTGCATCGGATTCGAGGATTCATCCTTGTCCCTCCAGACATCCTGATACTCCTGATTTGCGTGAATCAATTCCGGTAGGAAATTGGAAGGAACCGATTTGAATCCTAGATCCGTCTCATCCTCCGACTGCTCCGTTTCGCTATCTTTTTTCGATTTTGAGCGTTTCGATTTCTTCGATTCTTTCGACGATACTGCGGTGGATTTGCTCACGGTACTTTCAGTTCCCTGTAATAAGGCAGTAGTTGATGAAACATTATATCATTGATTTAAATAGACCGTAAGACACTTTGTAGATATATAGTAAGTTGAACAATTTGGTAAAATTTTTTTCATATTGATCGGTAAATTCGATAACTGAACATTTCGTTCTAATTTTATACAATACAAGATATAACCAGAGGAATTGGATTACGATGGAAATTGATATAATATTCAATTTTTACATATAATATTTTGATTCATCCTTAGAGCGCAAGATACTTTTATATTCGCGCATAATACTTTACCTGTCTGCTGAAAATCATGCGCGAACCACCACTTTCGGCAGATGGTAAATCGGGTATTTTCCCAGTTTGTTGAAAGTAAGTTTCGATCCAATTTCGAATTTCACTCCTGATATTTTCCTCCATGACGGCGCTTTTCTCGTTGCGAATTCTTTCTTTCGCCTCCAGTATCAGATCTTGGTATTGTTGTTGAAAATCCAATTGCTTTTCATATCTCTGCTGCTTCAGTCTCTCCGCTTGTCTGGCATTTTCCGTAATCGTTTGACTAGGCTGCAGCATTCCTTTAGACAATTAGTGTTAATATGTACATGTATTGAAATAAAACAAGCAGTAAATGTACTTGTTTCTCTTCATCGAAATAAATGCTTGAGACAATATTAAAATTGTTGCTTGTATATATTTCTACAAAACAGGATGTAAATCTCATTAAAAAATTTTTTTATTTACGACATGTTCATTTTTACCCTTTTCAAAAGAAAGAAAGGAAGAAAGATTATTAGATTAGACTGTTATATTATTGCAATAAAAAATTAATAATTCAAATTTCAAAATCGCAATTATTTATTACCTATCAACAGCATCTCCTCGAGGCGTCTCTTGCGAACACGGCATCTAGTGATATATCCTTTCCATATCTTCTGAATTTTCAGCGCTGCGAGCTTTTCGCTTGCTTCATCCTCGTCAGCGACTTCTGGTTTAGTAGTCGATCTTTCTTTCATTTCACGGATTTCTTTCATAAATTGATATCGCAATCTACCTTGTCTTGCTCGTTCATGCGCCTGGAGTATTAAAATTTACGGGCGGAATAATAAATCACAAGTAAATTTAATACGACATGTATATGTATGTGTGTGTGTGTGTGCGCGCGCGCGCGCGCGTGTGTGTGTGTAAATGCGATTGTTTTTTATAATAATAAAATTTATATTTATATTTATGCCTCATCATAAAATATATCTTAATTTATCACGTTGTTATAAAACAGTAGAATATTTGATAGCTGTATAAACAGCAGGATTTATAAAGCAATTTAAATTCTTGTAAAGAGTAGAATTTTTTTTTTATATTTGTTTAAGAAATTTTAATTTTAATGTATCTCGAAATCTCTTGTTTTTTAAACATAAAATAAAAGAAAATAAAAACAAGTATAAAAATAAATAATAAAAATATATGGATGTATGATTATATTGAACGATAAAAAGAACGATAGAAACAAAGTATAAAATATTTTAAATTTAAAGTATAAATAAACAATAATAACAGAAATAAACTCAGAATATTAACAATACTAGGTGAAGAAACTGGTAAATAAGAGCCGAGGTGCGGTAATTATGGCGCAAACTTTTTTTGTTGTTTAATTTTAATAACAAATAAGCATTTTATATATTTAATGCATACTTACCGCGCCTCTTATTTGTCAGTTTCCGAATCTAATAAATCAATATATTTTTTCTGAGTTTACATAAAATCTTATCTCTATTTCATCACGGATTACATAAATACATTAACATAATACATAAATTACATAAATACATTAACTTTTTCTCGAAATGCAAAATCTATAAATACGAGAGCTTCGGTTTTTTTTAGAAGCTTCGCATACCTGAATAAGTCTTATAGCCTGCGACTCGGTGATTTTTTTCGGCACGATGGCCTCGTGAAGCGCGCCCAAATTTCGGAGCGTATCCTCGATGAATCTCCGTCTCTCCGCGATTTCCACAGCACGTTCGCGCCTGTAATACTTTGGTATCTGGATCTCGGTTTCCTGCGGTGTCACCTCGCACTCGAGCAACGCGTCGTCGTAATAGCTGTGTTCCGATAGATCGATATTGACCAGATCGTGTTTGAGCTCCAACACCCTGCCCAGACTCGCGTTCAACGATTTCTGGAGTAGCAGGCGTTTCTGCGGTTGTATTACCTGATCGTAACATTGTTCGAGTTTATTGCAGATGAGGATGTATCGGACGTACAAGGCCGAAACGACATCGTGCGACTTCTTACGATCCTTTTGCGGCTTCGCGCCCTGGAGCACCGTATCTGCCTGGATCGTCTCCGCGAGCAACGTCTGGGCCTCCCTCCAGAGCTCGTCGTACGTCGCATTCGACATTCTTCCTCGGTAAGCGCGTTCAAAATAAAATGTCGAACGCACTTGCGAAATTCATATCTATCGCCGGTCGTTATAACTGATTGTCGGTTACCTGGCAACTGGATGACGTCACGGGGCAGAAATCGTGTAACGATGAACGAAAGAACGAACGGCGGAGAGAAAAATTGGTAACATCCTTCGATCACGAGCAGCTATACTGAAAGTGGAATTTAAAAATAGAAATGAAAGAAAAAATCCGAAAATCCAACTATATACAACCTGAACTTCGCACGGATGTCTGTGATATATAGGAACATTTGCTTTTCTTTATATTTTACAATTTTACAAATATCCACAGTCGAAGATGAAAATTGACAAAGATATGAAATTTAAAGTTATTAAGAACGCTACAGCTTGAATATTATGGTGTGTCTTAAGTGAAATTAATGAATCGAATATATGCGAAAAACCGAGGAGAGAGAGTGAGAGAGAAAGAGGGAGCACAGTAGGATTAATTGCGCGCTTTAAGATAAAAGATGCTGCAACTTTTGAATATTAATGCATATAAATGTTTTACTTATTGGATATAGACATCTGTGATTCGCAATCTAGGATGAAGCTGATGATGGCTTCGCGCGCTTCGATTCTCTTCTCTCGACGTGTCTTCTATTAGATTCAAGCAGGATTAGGACAATAATCACAATCGAAAAAAATCTTTAATTTGGAGGAGAGAGAGTGAGAGAGAAAGAGGGAGCACAGTAGGATTAATTGCGCGCTTTAAGATAAAAGATGCTGCAACTTTTGAATATTAATGCATATAAATGTTTTACTTATTGGATATAGACATCTGTGATTCGCAATCTAGGATGAAGCTGATGATGGCTTCGCGCGCTTCGATTCTCTCCTCTCGTGTCTTCTATTAGATTCAAGCAGGATTAGGACAATAATCACAATCGAAAAAAATCTTTAATTCGCGCAGATAAGACACGAAGGAAAAAAATCAATTTTATCAAATATCGATTGAAAACAGTACATCCTTTACTTTCGCCTAGAATGTTTTTTTGCATCCCTCGTTTGGCCCTAGTTATCATCAGCGCGATGCGCGATCTCGTTATTGTTATGTTGTTATTATTGGCTCCGAAACTTCACACTTTCGCCGCACGAGGTCATTGTGATCAATCCGAAAAGTCGACTCCGTCGATCTATTTGATTAATGATTATCAGTTGCATGTGTGTAGTAGAGTATCTACTGACTAATTTTTACAGATTTTCGGGAAGAAGCTTTTTGTAAAATTAACATATATATAAACCGATGGTGTGTTTGTGTATGTGTGTAAAAATAAAAATTTAAAGGGAGAAGGGAGCCATATCATTCCCTGTATTAGACACGTGATTGGTCGATTCCTTTGTGCACATGTATTATGAGAGAGACCTTCAAATTCAACCCTCTCGCTAGTGCCGTGCATTCTACATCCCTCTCGTTTCCAAACGAGTCATTTCAGTTGGGTGTTCGTTCGCGATTCTGTAATCTCTGTAAATAGACGATCGTCGATCGTGCGGCTGAACCGAGGGTGATGACAAGGGAGCATCCGCAGTAATGGCATCGGCATTGGAGCAGTTTGTAAATAACGTTCGGACGCTCTCGAAGCAAGGTACGGCCGATCTCGCAAAAATCGTCGCGATTTTAACCTCAACTTAACCTCAACGACGAAGAGTGACGTATAAAGTATTCCTCGTTGTAATGCATAGTTTCTCTAAAAAAAAGAAAATCTTTCAGATTTTACGAGTTATTATTTCAAATTTTTTACTAGTTGAAGATATTTAGACTTAACAATGGATTTTAAGCATCAAGATTTATATGTAATATTATATATCACACTTGCAGGTAACTTCAGAGAACTGTACGACATCATAAGCAAAAGCACCGAAGTATTAACGAAAAATGGACAACATCTGGACAACGTTTTGGAAACGCTGGAACTGCAACAGCACTCGTTAGGTATCCTAGCAGTACTCTGCGCAAAATTTTCATTGCCCAATTCTAATGGAAATAACCCAGATGCACACAAGGTATTGTTTAATCAAGTTCAGGAGTTTATTATCGGATGTAATGGGGAGCAAGTTAGATTTGCACCAGATACATGTAAGTATGTCGAACCTTTTGTTATGAACTTGATTAGTATATAAATTAAATGTAACTTTAATCAGGTTTTATATTAAGAAGCTTCTCATGGATTCATGTTTAGTTATATACTCTGCTCCTTAATTATATAAGAAATTAATATTTTTTTAAACGTATACGTTTGGAAATTTTTTTTTGCAGAATTCAACTATACAAAGTTTTCAAAATTGAATTATACAGATATATTTTTATTTTGAAACAGAAACACATTGATTATGCTAATTGATCTAATTTTCGAAAATCAAAAGTCTATTAATTTTGTTCATAATATTGAGAGCTTTTTCAATATTAAATATCTATTAGTATTTAAATGTGTCTTGTAAAAATTGTAATTATTTTCCTAAAACATTTACAATGTTAATTCAGTTTATATTATCCAACCATATTTATTCCTTATCGCTATATATATGACATTAATAAAATATATTTTACAGATGCGGATTTATGTCACTTGTTCACACAGAGTTTGGTGGAGTTGAAAACGCCATTACAAGGAATCGATTTAATGCGTCGCGCGATACGCAAGATACGATTGTTTGAGAGTCAGCTGACTTCGATACACGCTGATCTTTGTCAATTATGTCTTCTGTCCAAGTGCTTTAAGCCAGCGCTCGAATTTCTAGACGTGGACGTCACGAGCATTAGTCAGGAGGGAGGCCAGTTTGATTCGAAATACTTTCTATTGTATTACTATTATGGTGGCATGATATATACAGGGCTAAAGAATTATGATCGGGCATTGTATTTCTTTGAAGTGTGCGTGACGACGCCCGCAATGGCCGTCAGCTATATTATGTTGGAAGCTTACAAAAAATACATTCTGATTTCGCTGATATTACATGGAAAAGTGTTAAACCTACCAAGGTACACCAGCCAGGTGATCAACAGATATATCAAGCCATTGAGCCAACAATATCAGGAACTGGCCACAGCCTACCTCGTCAACAGCTGTGAAGAAGTGCAGAATATTATCACCAAGTATCAGCAAGTGTTTGTGAGAGATCATAATTTGGGGCTCGTGAAACAGGTGCTCGCTTACTTGTACAAAAAGAATATACAGAGGTTGACTAAGACTTTTCTTACACTTAGTTTAAGTGATGTTGCGAGCAGGGTTCAACTGTCGGGACCTGCAGAAGCGGAAAAGTACATCTTAAGCATGGTGAGTTTTATGACACAGCATGTATGAAATATCCTACAATCATTAGAGCTCTCAAACAATTATTTCGATAACTTCGTCATATTAATTTTGCTTAGCAAAAGAATATTTTTTTAAGAACGAAATTAATAAGCTTGTTTTAAGAAAGAGTTTATTTTTAGCAAAACTGAAGCTTTATTCTTTGCCATCTTTATTTTTTCAATCATTTATAATTGAGATTCATTTTTTATTTAAAAAGAAAGTTCTATATTAAAGAAAAAAAAACCATTTTAATATAAATCAAAAAGTCTGTCTTTACAGATTTATTGGAGTGTGAGCATATGTATGATACCTGCAACTTATATAAATTTAAATTGCTCACTCTAGCTGTTTTTATATATTTTCAGATTGAAGATGGTGAAATTTTTGCGACTATTAATCAGAAAGATGGTATGGTAGTGTTTCATGATGATCCTGAGAAATATAATTCACCTCAAATGCTGGCAAACTTTGAGAAGGAAATGGCAGCATGCACAGAATTAGATAAACGAGTGTTAGAAATGGAAGAGGAGGTCGTTCTTACGCCGCAATATGTTCGCAAAGCTTGTGGACAGAACGATCAGGACGATCAAGCCGCCGGACCTGCACCAACGAACGTTACAAATGCACAAGGTCAAATTAAACAAAATACCTATTCTATGTAACATATATATGTCGTTGTGTGTTATCTTTATTAAAAAATTACAAGAAATCATGGAAAATCTTATTGAGAGTCAAGACTTCAATATATAAAAGCTTGCTTTTTAGGGGG